AGGGGGCGGTGTCCTCCTGGGCGGACGGGCAGGGTGACAGCGGCCGGGAGCGGGACCCGGGCCAGCCCTCTGCTCGGGAGCTGGACGCACGCCCCGTCGGGGCTGCGCGGCCGCCGGCTTCCCACGCTGCCTGGTCGCGGGCACCGGCTTTGGAGCCAGACTCCGGGCTGGGATCCGGCTCTGTGACCCCGGGCGAGTCACTTAACCTCCCTGAGCCTCCTTTTCCGCACCTTGAAGTGGGGTCAGCAATACCTGCCTGATGCAGCGCGGGCGAGGTTAAGGGATCCCGTGGGGGGACCTCGCGGGCTGAGACTCCCCAGCTAGGAAGCGGCGGGGCGGGTGACCTTGTCTCCAGCCTTTCCGCGCCGAGGGCCAAGCTCGGCCTGAGAGCTGCAACCTGAGCAGAGGCGGTGGCAGCGGCCACCGCAGCCCCATGGCGGTGTTGGAGGGCGACAGAAACCTGTTGGCCGAAAGTTCCACTGAGGTTACCGGACTGTGGCAAAGGCCTAGCGGCATATTCCTGAGTTGAGTCACCCGGACTCCTGCCGCAGACTCTGGGCTCTGTCCTCGCTTGTCACCTCCAAGGCAAACGTGTTGAGGACAGCTGGTGCCGCCCCCGCGCCCCACCCCCCTCCTGGGAAGAGGGGCTGGGCAGGAGGGGCTTGGGGTTCTGGGGTGCTGCCCTGGAGGGGCTGGCCGAGGTGTGATGGATGAGGCCTGGCTAGGGTCATGATGCTGGTTGTCCACCTCTCCAGGGAAGGGGAGGCAGGAAACGGAAGTGGGGCAGGAAGGTAGCCCTGAGCTCTGTGGCTGTGCCAGGAAACTGAGGCGTCTGGGAGCCCACTTGCGAGTGAGCGCAGCAAGAGATCAGGCGGCAATGGGCTTTCAGGGCCCTCAGCTTTTGGGAAGAGTGGAGGCTGAGGGCAGGATGCTTTATTGGGGGTGCTGGGGAACCTCAGCCTCTCAAGATACACTTGAGAGGTGACTCAAGCCTCTAATCCCAGCACTTGGGAGGCTGAGGCAGGAAGATCACTGTGAGTTCAAGGCCAGCCTGGGGTACCTAGTGAATTCAAGGCCAGTGTGAGCTCCATAGTGAGACCTTGCCTGAAAAAGAAAAAAAAAGTATAATTGAGGCAAATAATGGCTCACAGTCTGGGCGGGCACAGCGGTTACCAGCCTCCCAGCTCCTTCTGTCTCTGCTCTTGCTCGCCCCCCTTTGTCTGTCCCCCACCCTTTCCTCCTCATCCCCTTTTTCTTCCTGGTCCTTGACCTTTTCTCTTCCCTGTGATTCATTCACTCCATGCAGATGTCTTGGGCAGCTTTTTGTGTCAGGTTGGTGACTAGTGTGGGGGTTCGCAAGGCAGCGGTGGAAGGACAGATGTTGAATGAGCAGTCACGTGATGTCATTTATCTTCTAGTCGGTCCTCTCTGCAAAGAGCTCATGGTTGGAGCCACAGGCCTCCCTCGGATGCACACAATAAAGTTGGCAGCATCAAAATGGCTGGGGCATCTGGGCATGTGGTGCACACCTATAATCCCAGCATTTAGGAGGCTGAGGCAGGAGGATCACAAGTTCAAACCCAGACTGGGCAACCTAGCAATTTAGAGAGAACCTGTCTCTCTCTTTTTTTTTGTCTTTTTGAGACAGGGTCTCACTACACAGTTCAAGCTGGTCTTGAGCTCACTTTGTAGCCCAGGCTGGCCTCAAACTCGCAACGATCCTCCTGCCTCAGCATCCTGAGTGCTGGGATTACAGGCGTGTGCAGCCATGCCCAGCTACAAGACCCTGTCTCAAAAGAAAAAGTCAAAAAGAGCTGGGGATGTAGCTCAGTGGGAAGGCCCTGAGCTCAATTCCCAATACAAAAAGTAATAACGATAATGCAATCAATTCTTGGAACCTTGGTTCAACTCCTGGATTTTCTGATGCGCTCAAGCAGACGCTATAACATCTTCAGGCCAAGGTTTCCTGTCAGACTAGGATAATAACACTGTGAGGCTGAAGTGAGGTCAAGTGGCTGAGTGGCCGGCTGCACAGTGCTGAAGTCGGGCTGTGGGCCCGTTGAAAGGTGCCTATTACTGCCGAAGAGGAAAACCTCAGTAGCCTACAGCGCCGGATGGGGCTAAACTAGATGCTGATTCTCAAAAGGAGCCTGGGAAGTTCTGTATTTAGGTTAGACATAGTTAAGCTTGCAAGCGTGCAACAGGGGAGACCTTGCTTGACTGTGCATTTTGTACAACTATTTAAGAGTTTTCATTGACAAGTATTGTACAGCTCTTGTGATCTGACTGCTTCCAAAAAAAAAAAAAAGGGGGGGGCAACAGTGAGGTGGCACACACCTGTAATCTCAGCACTGGGGAGGCTGAGGCAGGAGAATTTCTATGAGTTCAGAGTCAGCCTGGGTTACATAGTTCAAGACCAGCCCAAACTACGTAGAGAGATCCTGTCTCAAAAAAAAACAAAAGAAAAAATTAAAAAAAAGAACTAAATTTAGATTCTATCTATAATGACAGCTCTAATTTAGTGGAGCATTTCGTATGTGCCAGGCATTGTGCTAAGCTTTTGTTTATAATACATCACATAATCTTCAGCTAATAGTATGAAGTTTATGAGATAGGTATTGTTACTGTGACCACTTTACAGATGAGGAAGTGGAGGGTCAGAAGGTCACATCCTCCTCTTCTTAACACTCAGATGGTAAAGCTCAGAGGCAAGAATGGACAGAGGAGTAGAGGATAGCGCCCTGAGGGAGGCCCCAGGGGGGAGGGTACACTGCCGCCTGTATCCCCCATCTCTCACCCTGGGAATGGGGCTTTTTGGATGGATAGTTTATTGGGGTACTAAGCAGGAATTGGATTTTAAATAGGAGAGAGGGGAGACAAAGAGAGTTATAACAGGGAGTTAGGGAAGTTTGGGGTTTTTTGAGATAGGTTTTCACTAATATGTTGCCTAGGTTGGCCTTGAACTTCTTGGCTTAAGAGATCTTTGTGTCACCAGATGTGGTGTCACACGCCTGAGATCCTAGCACTCTCAAGGCCGAGGCCACAAGTTCAAAGCCAGCGTGGACTACATAGTGAGTTCAAAGCCAGCCTGAACTACATAGTGAGACCCTATCTCAAAAAACCAAAAGAGAAAAGAGAGATCTTCCTGCCTCAGTCTCCCAAGTACCTGGGACAACAGGGGTGCGTTAATGCCTCTTCCTACTGTCTTGCTACAAGCAGGTTTAAAGTTTTTCTTGTTTTTTGTTTTGAGGCGCTGGGGATTGAACCTAGGACCATACAAGCTAAGAGAGTGCTCTACCATCAGCAGGGAGTTTTCTTGCAGTACTAGGGATTGAATCCAAGATCTTCACACTGAACTATATCACCAGCCCTTTTTTATTTTGAGGCAGGGTCTCATTACTTCACTAAGTAAGCCAGGCTGGGCTCAAACATGCCATTCTCCTGCCTCAGCTTCCCAGAGTGCTGGGATTATTGGCATGCACCACCACGTCTGGCTCAGCAGGGAGATTTTATTTTATTTTAATTTATTTTAATTTTTATTTTTTTGAAACCAAGGTCTCACTGTGTAGCCCAGGCTGGTCTCAAACTCACAGCAATTCTCCTGCCTCAGCATCCCAAGTGCTGGGATTCCAGACAAGCTCCACCTGTCTAGCAGGGGGATTTTTGAAAGTTTGTTTTCAGAGAAGAAACCCCATGGAGCATGGAAGGGGATTTGGGAGTATGCATAGCACAGTGATGCAGTGCTGAGCATGGGTGGCCCTGGGTTCCATTCCCAGCACCGGACAGGTAGAGGGGGGGCGAATTTGAGTGTTGTAGGGGCTTTTCTGTACAGAGGGTAACAGGCTGTCAGGAACATTTCCTGAGCTGGGTGTGGTGGGGCACACCCATAACCCCAGCACTCAGGAGGCTGGGGCAGGGGGATCACCATGCGTGCACATGAGGGCAGCCTGGGCTACATGGTGGAACCCTGTCTCAAAACAAAACAAAACAAAACAAACAAAAAAACCACTTCCTACGGAACTGCTGCCCTCTGTGTGGTAACAATCTTGGAGGCCCTTGGCAGGTCTCAGAAATGCCTCTCCCCGTCCCTGCACGTGGCCCCCGCCTGACAGCGTTTCCTTATACTCACCACTGTTGTCCTCCTTCTGGCCAGCCTTTCCCTCTGGCTTTTCTCACTTGATCCAAGCCTGTCTACTACCTCCATAGAGACCCTTGCTGGTTCTTGTTTCTTTCCTGAAGTCAGAGCTACACCCCCAGCCTCCTGTTCATTTTTTTTTTTTTTCTTTGAGACAGTGTTTTGCTAAGTCACTAAATTGCCCAGGCTGAGCTCAAATTTGTAATCCTCCTGCCTCAGCCTCCCAGAGTACTGGGATTACAAGGCATGCACCATCATATCTGGCTGTTTATTTATTTATTTAGAGCCCAATCTCACTATGTTGCCCAGACTGGCTTGGAAGTCATGAACCTCCTGTCTCACCCTCCTCTGGAGTAGCTGGGATAACAGGTGTGCACTGCCACACCAGCCGCTAGACCAGGGCTGGCTCCCTTCGGGGTACGCCCCTATCTGTGCCAGGATCCCCAGCTCCACCCTGTCCTTCACGGGATGACCCTGCTCCTCCAATGGCAGTACTCACCTTTTCTTGCTGGGTGTGGTGGCACATGCCTGTAATCCCAGCACCCAGGAGACTGAGGCAGGAGGATTGCTGTGAGTTCAAGGCCAGTTTGGGCTATACAGTGAGATCAGGACCAGCCTGACATTCATAGTAAGACCCTGTCTCAAAAAATAAAGGCAAACAAAAAATGTTTTTCTTGAGATGGTCTCGTTATGCAGTTCCGGCTGGCCTTGAACTCACTGCGATCCTCCTGCCTCAGCTGCCCACCAGTTGTCACCCCTGCAGTGCCACCCTCTCTGCAGGTGGCTGTGGTGCTCCCTCTTCGTATTGCCCTCTGTAACTCCATCTCCCTAAAAACAGGCCCAATTCATTCAGAAAGTATTTCTCCCATGTCACCACCTGCCAGGCACTATGCAGAGCTACACAACACAGGGCAGAGTGGCCCTTGCCCTCTGGTTTCTGCCACCCCACACTCCCTAGCGCCTTATCTCCACAGTGCCCTGAAGACTTGTGTGCATAGTTCATGTCCTTTTACCTCGGCTTTTGGGGGACCAGAGGGCTGAGGCTGGGGTGGCTCTGTTCCCAGGTGCACATATGTTCTCTGGGCCTGGGTCCAGCTTGGCCCCAGACGGGCCTGGCTTCGCAGACTGCTCCAGATTGCAGCAGGAGGCAGAGCCAGCCCTCTGGAGAATGTGACCCAATGTCATCCCTTGTGTGAGAATAAGATAACAACAGCTGTAAGACTCAGAACAGAAAAAATAACATCCGGCATTCCATCGCTCTCTAGCAGTGGGTTTTCATTTTCAAATCTTTGTCTATTCCCAAGTTGCTGCCTTGGGCTGTTGGAATGAAGGGATATTCAAAGGGTCAAATAAGATGGCACGCCTGTAATCACAGCATTTGGGAGGCTGAGGCAGGAGGATTGCTGTGAATTCAAGACTAGCTGGGACTACATAGGAAGGCCTGGTCTCACTCCCACCCACAAAGGCCACAGAACAGCCTTGTTGAAGGACACCGTGGCAATGCTGGCCGGTTCAGGGAACGGCAGGAATTACACAGCTTCCCTCCTCTTCAGTATTCTCCGCCCTCAGCCTGTGGGTTTGCCTGCCCCTCTCCTGCGGGTTGTTTTTCTAGCTCCTCGGTAAATATTGACCTGTTTGGGTTTCAGACACCTGCCCCAAAACTCCCGCGGGGCTAGGAGCGCACAGGGAGAAGTTCTCTTGAGAACAAGAGTTATTTTTGGACGGGCCGTAGAGCAACTGAGCCGCTCACTGAAACCCTGCAGGGGTCAGCACTGTGCCGGCCTCCTGGGCTCGGGACTGGGAGCAGGATCCTGGGGTCCGGCTGGGGCCCTGAGGCTCACACCCTGGGAATGGCCAGGGCTGCGTGTGAGGCCGCTGGGAGGACTCTGGAGGGGCATTCTTGCTGGAGTGGGAAGCGGTCCTCCGTGACCACCCCGCCGGATCCTTTCCAGCACTTCAATTCTTGGTTTTCAGTGGAATTCAGTCTAGTGCCAGAATGTCAGCTGCAGACAATGGCCCTGGGGCTGGCAGGAAAGGGAGCTTGGCCCACGCTGTCTGTGAGGAAGAGATAGAGCCGCGCGGGCTGCGGAGGACAAGGGGTGGCTGTGGTTTGACAACCCTCAGTACTCATCTGCCTGCCATGTCCCTGGCCCTGCTCCTGGGCCTCGCCTGGCCTGGGTCTCTCTGCCACACGGATCCAGAGCTCAGTGCTTTTCCTTCTTTTCTGTGTTTTTTGGTATATTTGTTTTGGTACAGGAGATTGAACCCAAGGCCTATGCACTGAGCTACGTCCCAACCCTTTATCATTTTTATCTTGACCCATGTGTGTCGGTGAGACTGTCTCAAAACAAAAAATAAATTTAAAAAGGGCTGGTGATGTACCTCAGTGTGAAGACCTTGGGTTCAATCCCCAGCCAGTACCACAGCAGGGCAGGGTGTTGAGACATGTTCTCACTAAGTCACTAGGTTGCCCAAGTAGGGCTCAAACTTGGCATTTTCCTACCTCAGCCTCCTGGAGTGCTGGGGTGACATCCTGTGCTGCCACGCACCTCCCGACCCGCTCCTTCCTCACACACAAAGCAGCTGTCCCTCTCCCCTATGCTTTCCCCTTCCTCAGCTTGGACCCCGCCCTTCCTTTCCCAGTCTCCTGAAAGGAGCTGGCTATAGCTTAGGTGAAGCTGCTGCCCAGCCCGGCAAGCCCAAGGGTGGGTCTCGCCTGGACGAGTGGGCCGCAGGGAAGACCGGCCCAGCGCGAGGCTGGACGCCAGCGCTCCAGGAGAGGGCGTGACTGTGGGCACTGATGTGGGCAGCTGGCTGGGCCAGGAGGCAGAACGGGCCTGACTGGTCAGGGGCCAAGGAGCGGGGTCTGAACTCGCAGTTCGCAGTTCGGGAGGAGTGGCTGGGCAGAGGCTGGTATGAACCGTCCCAGAGTGCCTCTGGAGCCCCGTGGAGTGGCTCTGCCTGGCTGGCCTCCAGGTGCACCCTGGGTAGGGGCCATCTTGGAGCCCGTGAGCTGGTGCAGGCTTTGCAGGAGGGTGGGGTCCTGGGAAACTTGGAGGACGCTGAGATGCTGGAAGCCAGAGCTGACTTCCTGCCCGCCTTGATGAGCAAGAGGAGCGGCCAGGGAAACCCGAGGAGAGCCCCAGCCACCCAGAGTGCCAGCCCTTCACCCTGCACACGGCAGTGCGTCCTTGCCAGAAGGATGCTGTTAGCATATGCCACAGCTGGGCACGGTGTGGGCAGAGGTGCTGGAGGTCTGGTGAGGGCCGGGTCGGGGCCCCCCCGCAGTCCTGACCTCGGGCTTGGTGCCCAGGCAGGGAAGGAGTTGGAGCGATGCCAGCAGCAGGCGAACGAGGTGACGGAAATCATGCTCAACAACTTCGACAAGGTCCTGGAGCGAGACGGGAAGCTGTCGGAGCTGGAGCAGCGATCAGACCAACTCCTGGACATGGTGTGAGGCTGGGGGCAGGGAGGAGAGGGGAGAGGCTTGGGAAGTCCCCAGAGGGAGCTCTTGGGCGGTGCTTAGGGTCTCCAGGCTCTTGGTGAGAAGGACTGTTTGAAGGCCAGTGTGGGGCCTCTGTGTTTTCTGAAGCACCTGAATGTAGCTATGGCACAGACAGGCCTCACAGAGTAAGAAGTCCTTGGTTTTAGCTGGGCATGGTGGCACAGGCCTGTATTCCCAACATTCCAGGAGGCTGAGGCAGGAGGATGGCACACTTGAGCCCAATCTGGGCAATTTAGTGAGACTTTGTCTCAAAGTAAAAAAATAAAAAGTGCTGAGGATGTAGCCCAGTTTTTTAAAAAAAAGAAGAAGAAAAAGAAGTCACTGATTTAAAGCTGTGGACCTTCCTAAGGTTTGGGGACCAGCACTGCTAACTGGAGGTAAACTGACAGGGCTGAAGTCAAGGGCTGTGTGAGGGTCTCAGACCAGGTGTCAGACTGCAGGGTCCTAGGGCAACTTATGCGGAGAGAGGCAGGATGGGAAGGGTGGGGAGGAGACCAGGACCCGCTGGGAAGTGGTTGGGAGGAGCCGGCTCTGAGGCCCTGCGGGGACTGATGCTAACTCCGCCCTGTGTCTGGGGGCATCCACAGAGCTCTGCCTTCAGCAAGACAACCAAGACTCTGGCCCAGAAGAAGCGCTGGGAGAACAAACGTTGGCGGATCTACCTGGGGCTGGTGGTGGCCGCCCTTCTCCTCATCCTCCTGATTGTGCTGCTGGTCGTCTTTCTCCCACAGAACAGCGGGGACAGTGGGGTCCCAAAGGGATAGGCCCAGTGTTCACAATGGCCAGTTCTGTTCTCCAGAGAACCCTGGCACTTGCTCTCGATGGGGCCACCCCAGTGAACACTGAAGGGCAGCTGCATCCCCGTCGCGCACAGACTGGCCCTCGGGGGAGGCCTGCTGACCGGCCACGCCTGGCCAGCCCCACCTGGAGCTCAGTAAAAGCTGCCATTTGGTTAAAAGCTCATGGCTCTGCGTCTCGGGTTGGTTCCTGCTGTTCCGCCTCCACCCCACTAGGTGGGCCCTTCTTTTCTCTTCCCCGCTTGTGCCAACCCAACACAGACAACCCTTCCGGGAGTGGGGATGCAGAAACAACAGTCCCCAGACCAGCCCCTGCAGCCCCTTCCCCGAGAGTGAAAAATTATTTGCGCTACCCCGGGGGTGCTCAGAAACTCAATGAGACGCTAGCGGGAAGGGCAGAAAGGAAAGCTCTGGAGTGTTTCCACCGGGCTCTTACCGTCAGGTGGGTTCTCCTTCCGACTCGTCTCCCTCTCCAGCTTCTCAGCGCGCCGTGCTCCCCCCTAAGCTCCACACGAGACTGCAGATGTGGCAAGCGGAGTGAAGACAAGACTTCTATGGTGTTACCATGCAGGGTCAGAAAAGATGGGCCCTGCGGGAAAGAACTCAGGCTTTTCTCCATGTCCTGGGCCCCGAGGCCAGGCAGCCAGTGCCTTCAGGGCCACAGGGCAAGGGCGTGAAAGAAGCAAAAAAGCAGCAAGCCCGCGTGCAGAGCAGCCTCTGTCTTGGCTATTTAACTGCAGCTCAAACTCTGGTGTGAGTGGCAAGGGGAATTCAGGGTCAAGTGTGTGCAGTAAGCAGGTCCTTGCTCGGAAGAGTGAGAGCCACAGACAGAAACAAGAACAAGCCCCGAGAGTTCTGTGAGTTTTACTTTACACAGCCTGTTACTTTTTCTTTCTCTCCTTTTCTGTTTTTTTGTTTTGTTTTGTTTTGTTGAGATAGCGTCTTGCTATGTAGTGTAGGCTGCCCTTAAACTCACTAGGTAGCCCAGGCAGGCCTTGAACTCACTGCAATCCTCCTGCAGCCTCCTGAGTGCTGGGATTACAGGCCAGCGCCACCACACCCAGCTGAGCCTATTACTTTCATTAGGTTTATTACCATCCACTGGTCCTGGGAACGACCGAGGAAGGCTCTGAGCGCTGCAGTTAGAACACCACTTCTAGGCTGTGTCAGTCTGGGCACGCCACTTGTGAGACCCAGGTTTTACATATGTCACAAGGGCTCCGGCGTGTAGCCCAGGTGTTAGCACGCTGCTGAGAGATCCTGGGTTCAAGGTGGGAGAGTGGGGGGCGAGTAAGGATGCTTAGCTCTCTGGACTGCTGTGAGGATTACTGACAGCAAGCATAAAAGGTTCATCCATCAGAGTAAATCACGGCACACTGATTCTCAATCCTGCCTCACATTACAATCACCTCCAAAATTTATACAGCCCCTGCAGGGCATGATGGTGCATGCCTGTAATCCCAGCCCTCGGGGGGGGCAGAGGCAGGAGGCCTGCCATAAGGCCAGCCTGGGCTACATAGCCTCAAAAAACTAAACCGAAAGAAACCTGGGGATGTAACTCAGGGCGAAGGCCCTGGGCTCAATCCTGAGTACCACAAAAACAAAACAAAACAGAAGCTGGCGCCGAGGTTGAATAGGCTAAAGGTTACACAGTCCCAAGAGCTGGTGAGGCCTCAAATTGTCACTGGGTTAGGGATGTTTGCTCCATCCTTTATCTTACGCCTAACACTGAAGAAAAGCGCAGGAATTCCCCGCCCCACCCAGGGGCGGGGTCACTTGTAAACTCCGGACCCGACTAGAGGGCAGCGGGGCAGAAGTGCCAGGCGGGATCTCCGCGGAGTAGCCGGAAGCTCCCGAGTCCAGGCTCAGGAACGCGCAGCAAGGGTCAGCGCCCCCTAGTGTTTGACAGGTCTCTAGCACCTGAGGGCCTCGGGGTACATGAGGTCCTTATCAGCACAGACACTGGCTTCTCAGGGCACTACTGAGCGACCTAGCCAGAAATTCCCGGAACTTTACTCTTTCTCCGGCTCCATTGACTTTTAGGCTTTGATCGCTTGACTTATGTGACCAATAGGAGGCGGCAGAATCAGTACTTCCGCTTTCGTACCTTTAGCAACCCACTATGCTCGCCCTCGAATGCTCCTATTGGACCTCCTCTGCCAGCTTGCGAGCTCATTGGCCAGCGCTGTCAGGCCGCAATCTAGGGTCCGAGGGCTGTGTCTGTCAGGCAGCCGGGCAGCCATGGCGTCTTATTTCGATGAACACGACTGTGAGCTGTCAGACCACGAACACGAGACCGGATTCAACATGCTGCTGCAGCTCGCAAGGTGGGCGAGGGGGGCTGGGGCCTAGACTGATGTCTGGGTTTCTGGTCTGGGGCTGGCTGGAGAAGGCGGATTATCTGTGGCAGCAGCGGGTTCTAGGGAGGATGGATGAATAATCTGAACTGTTAGGTGGGGTGTTGATAGCGCGGGTCTTCCTTGGCAGGGCCGGGCGGGGACTGTGGGACGGGCTGAGCTGGAGAGGTGGGCGTGGAGGAGGAGGGCAGCGGCTCAGGGAGGCTCGAAGAAGGTGGGTCATGGGGGTTGGGTAGGGGCTGTGTTTGTGCGAACAGCAAGCAAAGAAGCCCCCTGGTGACTCGAAATCGGCTTTTATCAGGCCATTCCTATTCGGCCTGACTCACTTCCTTAACCTGTTGCCGCATGTGTAAAATGAAAATAAACAGTCTGCCCGCTGAGGTGTTTGGTAAGAGCTGTAAACCATTTCACACCGTCCGCTTCATCTAGTGAGTTTCCACCTAAGGACTGAGGATAGTTATTACTATTAATGCAGGTATGGGGCAGAGAGAAAGTATCGTTTTCTTTGGTTCTGACCTGGCATCCTTTTTCCCAGATCACTGTCCAATATGATGGATTTTCAAGACCTGGGCTTGGTAGTAGATTGGGATCACCAACTGCCTCCCCCCGCTGCCAAAGCTGTGGTGGAAAACCTCCCCAGGACAGTTATCAGCAGCTCTCAGGCTGGTGAGGACACTAATTCCTTCTGCTATTTTATGCAAGTCTGCCAGACTCACCTTCTCCCCCAAGCCAGAGTGCTTTCCAGGCCAGGCCGGGGCAAGAGCACCGCTCAGGCCGGGGAGCTGGGCACGGGCGGCGGAGGGCTGTGCCCGCTCTCCTGACCAGTGCTCCCTCCTCAAGACCTCAAGTGCCCCGTGTGTCTTTTGGAATTTGAGGAGGCGGAGACCGTCATTGAGCTGCCCTGCCATCACCTCTTCCACTCCAACTGCATCCTGCCCTGGCTCGGCAAGGTACGACTTCCCCTCTTCCAGCCCTCCTCCTGCCCTGGGGCCCAGTTCTCAGCGTCCCTCGGGTTATAGACCGGTCCAAGGACCAGAGAAAGGCGGGAGTGCGGGTGGGAGGTGGGAGCGGGGGTGATCAGCTCGGCTGGACCCAGGTGGGACACAGTCCTCCTTTCCAGACCAATTCCTGCCCCCTGTGCCGTCACGAGCTGCCTACTGATGACGACGCCTACGAGGAGCACAGGCGAGATCAGGTAGGGGCCGGCGTGCTGTGCTCATCCCGCAGCTCAGCAGCCTCTGAACCCCCGGCTTTGGCCACCTTCCCAGTGGTAACGGGGAGGACAAGCACCTTGGCAATGTGGATGCTCAGGGGACTGAAAGCCCCGAGACCCAGTCCTGGCAGCCGCTCCCCGCCACGAGCCTCCAGATTGGCCCTGCCCAGTGTCCTCTCCTCTAGGCTCGAAAGCAGCAGCGGCAGCACCGACTGGAGAACCTCCACGGGGCCATGTACATGTGAGGCAGCAAGAGCTGGGCGCTCACCCTCACATCTCCCTCGCACCTTGAATCCTTATTAAAGGTTTCTTTACACACCCTGCAGCTGCATTGCTCATGGGCAGGATGGTGCATCCTCCGCCAGGTCCCTACTGCTATCGGAGCTCAACAGTAGAAGGTACCGGGCTGCACTTGCCCCCTGCTGGCCTGTTGGACTCAGGGCAATGGGACCCAGCCACTGGACCAGCCAGGGCTTGGAGCTGCGTTCCTGGTCAGGAGGCAAACTATCAGGGTCCAGTACCCTATGGCTGTTGAAAGCTGATAAACTAACTTGCACCACCACCCCCGCCTCCTCAATTCCTAGTTAACCTTGGAACCGTTAGTTAACCTTGGACTCCTGGGGGGTTTTCTTTAGCTCTACAGGGAAAATTACTTTTAACCTTTTAAAGTTGCTCTCTGTACCATCCGCCCACCATTTCCCGTCCCACTAAGGAATCAAAGTTCAGCTCCAGATTCTGAGTTGGGGAAAGAAGCAAAACTATCAGGCCAGGTCAGTTCTTTGGACTGTCTGACCCAGAAATGGCTTCAAGCCCTTTTGAGTATTTGGACAGCACCTGGTAACCCTGTTCTTTTTTTTTTTTTTTTTTTTTCCTGAGACAGGGTCTCACTCTAGTTCAGGCTGGCCTTAAATTCACAGTGGTCCTTCTGCCTCAGCCTCCTTTGTGCTGGTATTAAACTCCAGACCAGCCCTGGTTTTTTTTTTTGTCTTTTTGAGACAGGGTCTCACTATGCAGTTCAGGCTGGCCTTGAACTCACTTTATAGCCCAGGCTGGTCTCAAACTCGCAACGATCCTCCTGCCTCAGCCTCCCGAGTGCTGGGATTACAGGCGTGTGCCAGCATGCCTGGCTAAGCCCTGTTCTTAGAAGAACACTGGACACTCGGAGCTCACCCTGGGTACAAGGGCTTCCTCCCACTGCTTGCTCTGGGGAAGCCACCTTGGATCAGGCCTTCCCTGTCTCTTGAGAACTGACTACAGACATGCAAATTAGAGTTCTTTTAATAGATATAAAAAAGTACTAAAATACCCACGTGGTCCTGCTGTGTTATTTGGCCTAAAGGAAGTGAGGGGCAGAGTGAAGAATCCCAGTGTAGCGCAGCAGGCCCAGAAGTGGGCCTTTCCTGTAGGCTAAGGCGTGCTCCTCCCACCCCCAGACTCCAATCCCTCTTGCTGTTTCCAGCCCCCAATTCCTGCAGCAGGAAACCCCAGTGGCCTGGCTCTGGCACTGGGAGTCGAAGGCACCTGAAGGGCTGGCTGGGCAAGTGAGGAAGGGGAACTTTAACATGAAACAATACTGTGGTGTGGGGAGCAGGGCGTGCAGCCGAGGCAGCCTGCCGGGCCTGCTCCTCTATGGCACGGGTGGATGTGGGATGGCCATTTCTCCAGGAGCGAGGAAGCCCAGATCCCAACAGAACACTGTCTGAAAATTGTTTTTGGTACAAAATAAATGCGAAGAGAAGAGAAGAGGTGGGTGCTGCGGAGGCCGGGCCAGCCACCCTCCTGACCTCAGATCATGGCAATGCTCTCGGGGGCACAGGTGAGGTGGGTGGAGGTGCTGCTGCTCCCCGAGGACTTGCAGGCCCGGCCAGGGGCAGGCTGCAGCGCAGCCACCAGTGTGTCTGAGGAGACTGCCCCAAACTCGTAGCTGAAGGTGCCATAGAAAATAAGGATATCGATGACAAACACCCACTCGCACAGAGCTGCGCCATGTTGTAGCTGCGAACTCTCATGGACGAAGAAGACACCGCCTGGAACGGGGCTAAGGAAATGTTCAGTAGAACGCACAGGAAGCTGGCACCACCTTTGTGCAGGCCCAGACACTTAAGGAGGCCAGGGCAAAGGCTCAGGCCTCCCCAGGGAGCAGAAGCCTGTGTGGCCAGTGTTGGCTGGAATGCAGGCCTCACCCCGCTGGGGTCTGACAAGGTCTGAGCTACTAGAGGATGAGTTCCTGGCTGCCCTGCCTTGGAAGGATACTGAGGACCAAGGTGACAAAGGCGATGACAGCCAGCACGCTTCGCAGGTAGGCCACAGCCAGATCCAGGGGGGCAGCGGCCCCATGGTAGGAGAGCACACAGTGCAGGCAGACAAAGAGCAGCCCCGCAGGGAAGGCCACACCGGCTCCAACGTAGTGCAGAGACTTGGCGTGGTCCACCTGGCCCAGACCGATGGTCTCATCCATGGGGTGGCCCCACCCTGCACCCCTGCATCGCTCCTGCTCCCTCTTCCTTCTCCCTCATTCCCCTCCCAGGCCTCCCTCCAGCTCCGGCCTCGGGGCGCTGCCCATGCAGGCAGCCGACTGGGGGGAGTTGAAGGGGAGGTGGGGGCACCTGAAAGTTGCCAACCACTACGAGGCCCGCGGCGTTGGTGCAGCCCATGATGAGCGCCGTGGTGTTAACCCAGGAGTGCCGGCTCTGCTCCAGGAGCTGCCCATACCGCAGGAGGCAGATCAGGGCCACTGGGGGAGGAAAGCGTGGCTGGGGCTGGCCCAGCATCTTCCACCGGCCCCACCGGCCCCACCTGCCCGCCAGCTTCCCACAGCCTGCGCTCTTCCACCCCTGCTGAGGGCCAGAAGGGGCCGGAGAGGTGGTGGTGAACTAGGTTTCCTCAGGCTCCTGTCAGCCATGGCTGTGTGGGAGTCGGCCTCTGAAAGGCTTTCAGGGGACAGAAGAGAAGTTGCCCCTCTTGCCTTAGCACTTGGTGGGGAGGGCTGTGTGGAGCAAGGGCGTCTGAGCCTTTCTGGGAAGAGCGTGCAGGGGGCTGGTCAGGCGGGGCCGAGGGGCGCACTTACCCATGAAAGCACCCATGTTGCCAATGAGGCTGAAGAGGCAGCTCTCTGGGGGATATGTGCCACACTTGCTGAGGGGACAGGGCAGGACAGAGTGAGACACAGGTGCGCCAAGAACCCCTACTCTGGCCCCTATTTTGTCTGTACCCACTCCTTAGCAGGCAACCCACTGATGTACGAGGAGGGCCAGTGTCCCTCAGGGTCTGAACCCTCCTCCTCCTCCCGCCCCCAGCACAGCTTGTGTGTGCGCGAGATAACGGGTGCCGGAGGGCTCCAAGCCCGCCTGAACCCAACCTGGGCTGGGCAATCAGTGCTTGAGCTTAACTCCAGAGGTCTCCTCTTACTAGCTGTGGGACCTGGGGGAGTAACCCTGAGCTTCCGCTTGTCACCTACACAGTGGTGAATACAGTAGTGACCTCCCTTCTCAGGGGATTCAGAGAATTCAGAGATGGGCATATAAAGTCCTCAGGGCTTGCAAGCAGTACAGCAGCTGAGGCTAGTCTTCTGGTTTTCTGGAAGTTGGAGAGCCTTGGATCTCTGACCTGCCCAGTTTCCAGGACTGACCTGATGAGAGGGACATCGTCCAGGGTGCAGCAGGTCTTGGGGCCCCCTTGCTCAGCAGGGTCAGGAGAGCAGGACTCGTTGTAGGACCTGGCAGGCAAGATACCAAGTAGACTCTGGGAAGGGGTTGCCCCAGGCCCTTGGCCTGTAGTGTCAGGGGCCCCCTCCCAGGCCTCCCCAGCAGGGGCACAAGAGCCCACTCCCCAGGGCCTGCCTGAAACAAAAGCCAGATGGGTGAAGGGATGGTGGGTAGAGGGTAAGTGGGCAGGAAGCCATGCCTGGGGACTAATGTCAGAGAAGAGCAGTGAGGCCCAGGGTCTCCGTCTGGGTCATGGCTGCTGAGGGCCCAAGAGGGGACAGAGATGAAGGGAGCTTTAGAGTGAGGCTGTCTGCAGTGTGCTCCATACCAGTTCTCCACAGGGCACACGTGGCGGTTCATCACGGCCATGGCATACCTGCAGGAGCAGAACTGTCACCCTGCCCCCATGTCCCTCCCAGCCCAGCCGCCCCCCACGGACTCCTCTGCCTGGGTTTCTGCTCCTTTTCAGCCTCACTGTCCTTGCTGAGAACCGGGGGTGGGGAGTGTCTCGATGCTTCCCCTGAGGAGGTGGCATGACCCCCCCACCGGAGTCCCTCTGGACATTGCCCTGGCTCCAAGTAGGTCTGCCAGGGCCATCCTGCTGAGCAGCAGTGGTGCCAGCTTGTCTCAAGGGGCTGTGTGCCCAGGCACCAAGCCAGGCTTTGAAGACAGAGTGACCATGGGTACCACTCTGGGACGCAAAACGGGACAAGAGACTTTGTGTGTGCCCTCAGGCTCCTGTATGTCCCCGCTTTACTCACACAGTCCATATGCCAGTGATGGAGAATGCTGACAGGCTGACAGGAAGGAGGATCCAGGCGGTCATGAGGGAGGGGAGCCAGGGTGATGATGTGGGGGGAGGACGAGAGGTAGGTGGGGAAGAGGGGGCGGGCCCAGCTACCTGGAGATAGTTCGGCCACAACCATCAGCTGCCCTGGCCTGGGGGAAAGATCAAAGTCCAGGGTCTGACCCCGCCAAAGGAGGGGGTGGGGAAGGTGGTCGGTCAACACCTCATCCAGAGCTCCCCTTGGGTCTGTGAGGTCCAAACTTTGGGCTGAGCCCACGCCAGAACGTGGACAACCCTCTGGCATCCCTTGGGGCCCTCCACGGTCCACCCAAATGCCCCTGGCAGGCTGAGGCTCCGGCGGGGCTGTAACATCTGGAATGGGAGTCACCGTCCCTCCAAGAGGAACGCAGGCAAGGGGAGGCTGGAGTCAGGACAATCAATGGGGACCACGCCGAGGAAAGCCTAGGAGAGCTGGCGGGGCAGGGAGCGCGGTGGCGCGTGGGCAACCACCTGACCACGGAGCCCAGGCCAGGGGGCGGGCTCACGGGGGAAACCCGACCCGGCCCCACTCGCGTGGGGTCGCGGATTCCAGCTTGGGCAGGAACCCGAGGCCGGCAACCCTCCCGCCAGCCCTCCGATTCGGGGACCCTAGCCTCCCCCGGGGATCCCTGGAGACCTTGCAAAGGAAGGAACCCATACGCACCTCTCGGGAGCACCCCGCCGCCGCCGCCGCCGCCGCGCCCTGCCTGGC